AGACCTGTCCAGGTGTCCCTGTGGTGGACTGGAGATCTGTCCAGTTGGCCCTGTGATGGACTGGAGACCTGTCCAGTTGGCCCTGTGATGGACTGGAGATCTGTCCAGTTGGCCCTGTGATGGACTAGAGACCTATCCAGGGTGTCCCCCACCTCTTCCACAGTAAGGACTGGATATGGGCACCAGAGACTCCCGCGACTTGAAAAGGAAGAAGTGGGTAAATATAATGGATGGATGGATGGAGTTGCACTGTGGAGAAGAAAATCCGTAGGTCTGTTTATCCTTGTCCGATGTGGCGCATAGTGTCAGATCCTGGAAAGTGGGGACAGCAATTTCATCCAACACCAGGTGCAATGGAGGAGCCGAGGGGTGGCCAGTGGTGGCCGTGGCCACCACAGATTAATCTTGGACCACCCCGATCACTTAAGGAAACTGTACTAACTGTACTTTAAGTAATATAAAAACTAGAAAGTGTAGAATCCATCCAGATGACCTGACTCAAACTTGTTAGACTAGAAAGCATGGTTTCCTCAAGTGATGGTCAGTTTACATACATACAGTATATATGGTGGTGGCTATCTTGGATTTTGACAGGGCACCCCAATTTTTGAAAGGAATGTTTTTTATATATGTAGCCACACAACAAAATGAAAGTCAGTACGTCACTTAATTTTCAAGTTATCATGCTCACAACATGGAGGATGTCCCCCTCTTCACTCCACAATGGGAGACGACAAACTTCAAGCCAAAATGGAAACACTGGCTGAGCAAAACCAAGTCTGCCCTTGCTGCTTCCATAGCACTGAAGAGGAGAAGTAACAACTAAATCAACAAAGTCCATGCTCCATAATCCAAATCCAACAATTGTCAGTTGGGTCATCTGGACAGTTTCTTTTTTTTTTCCAAAACTGATCAGTTTTGTTATGTGTGTTTCCTTGACTGATGAAGCCTTCTGGATGGAAGGAGAAACGTTTCAGCACAAAAAAAAAAAAAGAAACTGTCCAGATGACCCGACTGACAATTGTTGGGGGTAACAACTAAATCGCTGCTGACTGAACTGACCTAATTTGCTGCAATGATGCCCATTAATCTGAGAAACGCTACATTTTATTTCCAGACTATTTGGAGTGCGTCATTTTACAGAGAAAAATATTAATCACAAGTGAAAACATTTAAGATGGCTGCCAATCTTCCAAGAGGGGACATCCCAGCAAATTCACCCCTTGGTCAGACTGTGCAGTGATCAGAGAAATGAACTCGGTCTCAGAGTCTACAGGTCTCAGTTAGCATAAAGGTTAAAGGTCATAACAATAATTGGAGAAGGACTGAACAAGTATGACTTGTCTGGAAGGGTCGCAGGAAAAAGAAAGACTTGGGTTTTTAAATTTCCTCTGAATGAATCACGACTTCTGGAACAATGTACTTTGGACAGATAAGACCAAAGTAAAGAGGTTTACACATAATGTACAGCAGCAAACACAGCCTATCAGTACAAATACCTCATACCAACTGTCAAGCACGGCAGTGGAAGGCTGATGGTTTGACAGCTGAAGCTTGGACCCAACTGGGTCAGGATGCTACAGAACAACGATCCCAATCACAGCAGCAACAGAAGAAATGCAATGATCCAGCTAAAATCCAGACCTCAACCTGACGGTGGGACCTTCAGAGAGCTGAGCACAAACAAACAACTGCAAACCTCAATGAACTGAAACAACTTGGGAAACAGGAGTGGGCCAAAACTCCTCAACAACCACCTGAGGGACTGAGAAAGAAAAGCACCACAGAGAGAGGTTGCTGCTAGAGAAGGTTCTAGAAGCTGCTGGATGCAGATGTTCTCTCGTCTGCATGTTGTCTTTGCTTCTGTTCAACAAATAATCTGTTGTGTGTTTTTGTCCACTTGAATAATTTCAGGACCTGGTAAAGACCAGACGATTGTTATTATCCCATAAAAGTAAATCCTTGAATTAAAAGAGTCTTTCTTGTCCCTATGACCATGGAGAAGAAGATATTAAAACATAAGACTTTATATGACTACATAGATCAATCCTAATGGCTGACTCTTTTAAATTGTAATTTAAATCACTTGTTAGTTTTGAAAAGTATAATGAAAAGTGCTTTAATGTGATTTTGACAGACACGTGAGGCCCTACTGAAGTGCTTCAGGAAGAAAGTAAGTGAACGACCACTTCCTTTGCGTGCATGTGAATAAACGTGTTCGCTCAACATCCTTCTGTGTGATCTCCAGGCTCAGGTTTCCAGCATGAGTGGAAGCACAGCCTCATCCACCAAGTTGGGCTCGTTTGAGAAATAAAATCAACACGTAGACCAACAAGCCACATTTATTTGTAGATGCTTAATTTTTTTATTTATTTCGGCGGCTCCCTTCGTCACAGAACTAACTCACACCAAGACTTGGCAATTATTTTTACACCCGACGCCCTTCCTGACGCAACCACAGCCCCGTGTGGAGCAGGGAGCTGCTAGGGCGCCCAGATGAGCAGATGCCTTGCTCAAGGGCTCAGAGTGGGGCAAATGAGGATGGAGGCAGGTGTGGGTGCTTCACCTTTCCCCTCCACATTTTGATGTCGGTACCGGGAGTTGAGCAGGCGATCTTCCGACCACAGGCCCACCCTGTCTAACCTCTGCGCCACCACTCCCCCAATTAATGAATCTTAATGAAGTGCATTTATTCTGTGATGCGACTGTTTATTTTAGTTATCGGGCGTTCACATCGATTGTATAATCACATTTTTTTAACGATGACATTTAAACTGTTTTGCATCCGACGTTAAGACAACAAATGTCAAATGTGAATAGAATATTGTGTGTATTTTAATTAATATATTAGCAGCAAGCTTAAAGTGCATAAAGCTTAAATTGAATGCAGTTTAACCATATTGCCTTTAGTAAATTCAGATTATGAAATATTTTTTATCAGACTATAGTATCTTACTGGAAATGTGTGATTATTTGTATTAAAATTTTTATAGTATAATGTTAAGATGGACCTTCTGGTTTCTGTTTCTGGTAGGAAGGACTTTTAGTCGCACGCCTGCACTAACAACAGACGAACACTAGAGCGGGGCTATTCAGCTAAACTGCTCAGGGAGCCACAGTTACTGAGAACCTACAGCTCAGGGGCTGGACATACAGGAGTTACTGTCATTAAATAAATTTGTTTTGTTGTTTAAAATCTAGTTTCATTTAAAATGAACCCACTTGTGGACGGAACCGAGTTCATCCATGGGCCTGATTTGGCCCCCGGGCCGTCAGTTGAATAGCCCTGCATTAGTGTTTTGATATTTTAAGGATGAGTTTCATTGGCTTCAGAGCTGGTCACATCATTTAGTGTTGTAACTTTCCATGAGCTGTGACATCCGAGGAGGCGTGGCCAAGCGCTGAAGAAAATGTGCGTTCCGACCGACGCTCGGCGCCGTTACTTGTAACCGCACGGAGAGGCAGTGATGGCCCAGGGCTGGTGATTTTGTACTTTACATGTGTAGCTTAAAGTAAACTTTTAAAGATGGATCTGCCTCAGCGAGTCTGCTTCAGATCATTAGAACACAGGAACAGAGAGCCCTGGTGGTCTTTTGTACACCATCGCAGAGTGATGTCCGTCTGTTCATCCATTTATGCATGTTGTAAAAAATTATAACTTGAAGAATAAAGAAAGATTCCTTTCAAAATTTGGTTGCCAGTTCAAAATCCAAGATGTCTGCCGTCATATATGGTCACCCCTATCATTTGAGGAAACGACGCTTTTTAGTTTTTATATTGAATTAAAGTTTCCTCAAATGATAGGGGTGGCCGAAGATTGATTTATGGCAGTCAAGGCCACCACTGGCCACCCCATGGCTCTGCCCTTGTGCCCGGTGGTGGATAAATTCCACCTGACTGGATCCGTCCCTCTGCTACTACTTTGACTCTTCTCCACAGTGTAACTTCTACACATCCGACATTCAAATCCCTCAGAGACAGAGGACTACAGTTTACCGCTCCATTTAATTAACGTTGCTTTGTTCGGCCCATTCCTCATCTGTATCATCCATGGAAATCCCTTCTTGAGCCGCTTTCCTGCGGTAGGCCTGGCTCTCTGTCTCCGCTCTGCAACGTTCAAAAACAGGGCGGTTAATTCAATGTTCTCCAACTCCTGTAGAGGAGTTGCACTAAAGAAGACAAATGGAAGGATGTGGGCTTTGGGTTGTACCTTTTAAGGAACCGAGCACAGTCTCGGTGTCCGTATATTTGGGCCAGCCTCACTGGTTTGTCTCCGCAGCAGTCCTCCTTGTCGATCGGTGCGTGGAGGGAGTGCAGCAGCCGCAGCACCGCCAGCCGGCCGGACTCTGCTGCAAAGTGGGCCGGAGTCCATCCGTGCTCTGTTTTTAGACACGGCCTGGCGCCGTGCTCAACGAGGAGCCTGACGATCTCTGCATGTCCTGTGGAAAAGTGAATACAGGGTGGTGTGATGCAAATTAAAAATCCTGTTAACGTTAACAGAAGTTCCTACGTGCTGTTGGAAGAGGTTCCTCCTGTAAAAGAATTATCGACAAAGCAAAACAGGATTCAACGTCCTCGCACAGCAAAGGACAGAACAAGTTTATCAACCAAAGTAACTAATAAAAAAAATAACCTGTCAACATGTTTATTAGTTTAAACTCTAAAACACGCAGGACTACCATACACTTACACTTGGCAACTTCTTTATTTCTGAGCCAAGTTTTACACAATTACATGCGCTATGGGTGGCAGTGCCACACTTGATACACTTGGTAGTTAGAATTTAAAGTATTTTTACTGTATTATGGTAATTTATTCTGTATTTTGCCAGAATATGGGGATTCTGGGGTCGTGATAATGGGGCTCTTGAAGATTGTTGCCTACAGTGAAGTGTTAATCTGGCCCTGGGGGGCACGGTGGCTCAGTTGGTAGAGCTGTTTCCTCTCAGCGAGAAGGTTGCCAGATCAAATCCCGGCCTGGGAGCTTTCTGGGGGGAGTTTGCATGAACTCTTTGTGCATGCGTGTTTTTTTTTTTCCTCCGGGTACTCCGGTTTCCTCCCGGCTTTAATTGTAATGCATTTAATGATCAAATATGAAATAGAAATAACAGTTTTTACATAAATTCTGTTGAATTTGGTTTTCTAGTTTGCCTGTGGTATTATCAGTCATGTGTTTATTAAATGTTCAAACATCTTTAGAGACAAGAAAGCATAAAATGTCATTTTAAAACATAACCCTCACAATGTGATTTACTAGTCAAAATGTGATTAAAACTCCTAAAGCCTGTTATAGTTATACATATAAACATACAGTACATATTCTCATTATATACACAACACTTTGGTCCTGTGGGTGTTTAAAGTGCTCGATAAATAAAGCTGGGATGTTATGGTATATTGTAGAGGGTGATATTTTTTAATTATACCACAGGGAATTCTTTGCAAAGTACAAAATAACCTAAAATGGCATTGTTTAAACGTTTGTCAGATTTATGCCTTAAAATGCCATTTTGTGGTTCTATGCTAATATCGTATGGGGATTCTTAGGTTAAAGTTTGTGATGCTTTCTTGTTTTTTCGTGCATGTTTTATAACTTTTTTCTAAATAAGAATTGTTTCTGACAACTATTCAACAGGATAGCTCCAAGTAGATCTGCATAAAGAGAGAAATCTAGTGTTGTGTACAGGTTTGCAGCCAGCAGAAGAGAGAACTTGATCCTTCAGCATCAGGTGCGTGACAGAACCAGTTTAAAGCCTTTACCTTTGGCTGCTGCCCAGTGCAGAGGAGTCTTGTAGCTCCAGTCCACGTCTCTCTCATTGGGGCAGCATTTCTGCTGCGTCAGAAGTTCTTCAACCTTTTGGTAATCTCCTGCTGCAGCAGCTTGGTGCAGCTCGGTCATCTTGTTTGAGTTGTTGCCTAGCAACCGTGCATGGATCCAACATGGCGGAAGCTCGAACCTGAAGCTTTTGAAAAGGAACGCTGCCATCTGCTGTGTGACGAGGACAATCAGGGTATGTCCAAGCATGACATTTGAGATTTGATATAATGAAATAAAAAAATATTTAACCGTTGGCTAGTCAAGAAAAAAAATACAATTTTTGTTAGACTTATGTGCACAAGTAGATAATCATTTTAAATTTAAGGTGATGTGAATAGCAAGTGGCATGAAAAACATACAACTATTTTATTTCTCCAAGCAAGAACGAAAAATAAAATCCTACGAGGGTGTTCCTTTACAGAAGTCTTGATTTCTGTTCGTACCGTGAGCCCGACTTTCTATTCAAACGAGCGCTACTACACCGTTGTTCCCAGTCTGAGGGATTTGAAGGTTTGTAGTTTTTGAGATATTTTTCTGGACTGCAACTGAACAAGGAATACAAATAAGCCTTCATGTTTATGGTGCAAGATATTCAAGCACAGAGTTACATTGAGTAGAAGGACAGAAGTGGGTTTATTATTTTTATCATTATTTTAATTTTCACTTGTCTGAGACCGCGCAGTGATGGATCCTGGCAAATCCACAACCAGGTGCAGTGGAGGAGCCAGGGGGTGGCCGATGGTGGCCAAGACCTATAAAGTTTACTCTGTGGTGGCCTTGGCCTGTTGGAATCTAGTCTACTTCTGAGATTCCAACAGGAGGTTGGCTTGAAACACAGCAGTGAAGGCTACCTATGGAACAGATCTGGCTGACTGGCTGCGGACTGACGAAGTCCTCTGGATGGGGGACAAAACGTTTCTCACTTAAAGAAACTGGTCCAGATGACACAATTTAACTATTTTTGTTATCTACCTGGATGATTGAGCTCAAACCTTTTTCTGAACATTTTCCAACAAATTTGGAGAGGGGGAATGATAAAATACGTTCACAAAGCATTTACTGATGCACATTTATTTCACAAAAAACTTCATACAGTGAAAACACTACAAGACAAGAAATATGGCTCATAAAAATGAAGACAGGTCAATTCCAACTTTGATTCTTCAGAGGCATTTATCGATACATGGTCGGGTTAGAAGCTGAAACAAAACAAACGATATTTTAGAAAAGATGAACGAATGTTCATAATCATTATCATAATTTTTAGGAACAAAGTTTGGATAGCTTCAAGTGAATTGAGTTTGATCTCAGCATCACCCGATGCTGAAGGTGAAACACTCGAGTTTTTGTCTGTCAACGTGCGTTTGGTCCAGTGATGAACCGTGACTATAAGACGTAGGCCTTCTGATAGGACAGCAACCTGATAAATACTAATGTTGAAGATGCTACAGAGTAGGGGTCAGATTACATCACTTTACTTTTAGTTTCACATACCAGAAACTTTCAGAACAGGAAGTGCTTTGCCCCTTTTGAGACATCGAGTAAAATATCTGACTTATGTGTGACTTCTTATTTTATTTTATTACAGTCACTAACAGCTTGAACAAACAACCCAACACTACACAGAATAATAAACAGGGACAGCTCCACTGAACAAAAAGTCCAATCATTTTTGTCCCAGGACTATCCACTGTGCAATGCAGCTCACCCAGTCGTTTGTGTTCAGGCACATGTAATTTCAATAATTCAGAATAAAATTTAACAGTAACCCATCAAACTTAAAGTTTCTATAAAGTTTTGTCATGTAATGAAACAAAACTACTTTAATATTGAAAATTCTTAAAGATTCTATCCGTCACTCCTACAGCACATCTCACCACTGTCCTGCTGTCCTCATACAGGTCCTGTACCAGTCTAACATTTCTCTGCCACTCCAGATTTCCTCATGCAACACCGCACCTCCTCCCTCAGCACCCTGTCAGATGCTTTTTCTAAATCCACAAAGACACAATGGAGTTCTTTCTGACCCTCTCTGTACTTCTCCATCAGCATCCTCAAAGCAAAGATGCATCTGCGGTGCTCTTTCTTGGCATGAAACATTCTGCAGCTCACTAATAGTCACCTCTCGTCTAAGTCTAGCTTCCACGACTCCCAGATCTTCTTTGTGTGACTCATCAACTTAATTCCCCTGTAGTTGCTACAACTCTACATCACCCTTGTTCTTAAAAATGGCCACCAGCACACTTCTCCATTCCTGAGGCATTTTCTCACCCTCAAATATGCCACTAAATATTTGAGCCAAAAACCTCACTGCCATCTCTCTGAGACATTTCCAAACCTCCACTGTTATGTCATCAGGTCCTACTGCCTTCCCCTTCGTCATTCTTTTCAGAGTGTTCCAAGCTTCACCCTCACTAATCTTTTCCACTTCCTAATCCACAGTTTCTATGACCTCTACTCTTCTTTCCCTTTCATTCTCTTCATCCATTAGCTCCTCAAAGTACTCCTTCCATCCTCCCGTCACACTCTCCTCACTTGTTAGAACATTACCATTCCTATCTTTAACAAGCCAAACTTGCTGCACATCCTTTCCAGCCTGATCCCTCTGTCTTGCCAATTGATACAAATTCTTCTCACCTTCTTTCATGTCCAGCCACCCATACAACTTATATGCCTTCTGCTTTGCCTTAGCTACCTCCAGCTTTGCTATAAGTTGCATCTCCTGTCTCCTCTCTTCAGTCCTTTCAGTGTCACATTTCTTCTTGGCTAACCTCTCTTGTGAATAGATTTCAGCACTTCACCAGATTTTGGTCTCAACCCAGTTTAAAATGGCTACTATAGCAAACTGACCTTGAAAAACAGCCAAATGTCTATAACTGCTTCAATTTTACAGATAGTAAAGTAAAATTTTGACTTGGAAGTAGCTCAGTCATTCACAACATATAGCCTTATTGCAAACAGACCCTGAAAGATCACGAGATATTGCAATATTGCATGAGATTGTGCATAATGCTATTTTCAAAGTTTGTGCAAAACAGTTATAATCATTTCTCAACATAAGATGATCATAGCTTAAGAATCTGTTATGGAAGGTGGTAGGCAACATGCATTCCTTTGTGTATTTTCTAGGCTTTAAATTTAAAATGCGTTTCTGGAAAGAAAAAGAAAAAAAACATAAGAAAAATAGTAAAGTCCTATAGAGCCCTACCCGTCAAACAGATGACAATTTTTAATACCAGACAACAAATCACTGATAAGTTTACTAACCCGTTTCCAGACTTTCTGCTCTCCAGTATTTCTCCATCAGCATATTCACAACCACTCCTTCATGCTCAATTTCTACTGAATACTGAGGAACTGCAATCTCTGAATGGTCCTTCATGTCAACAACTGACAATTTGAGAGGTTTATCAACCAAAAGGTTGTAGAAGGCATCAGAAGCTTCATCCTTCCAGGATCCTTTGGACTCATCAAATCCACTCAGACAACACAAAAAGGCCTGAGGAGCAATCTCCAGGAGACTCTGGGTCAAAGGTTTTACATTCTTAACGTCAACTTCAGACTCATTTCCGTAATCAACAAACAGGACATGTAGCATTTTCTCACTTTTGCGAACTAATTGAGCTCTGTACCACTGGTTGTCACTGGGAAACAAAGCAAGACATGGACTGCCGGGACCAAGGGCCTTAGAAAAGATTGTATCCTGTTCTGCCTGTCCAGCCTCCTGAGAAAGCTGTGACACTTCATCTAGATCTTCAGTGTTGGCCAACTGACACCAGAAGAAACTTGGCTCAGAAATACAAGATGCATAGATCATCTCTGTCTGAGCCCTGGATATCATGGGATCTTTGAACATGTCAGCTTTCATTAAAGTTGTTTTAGACACACAAAGATGTGCTGTGTCAGAATGGTCAGGACCAACTTGACTTGAGTTGATTGATTGTTGATTTTCTGTCATAGAAGAGTCTTCTGTAACTGGCTTCCAGTATTGCAGCATAGCTGCATGTATATTTACTTCTTCATGCTCAATTTCTACTGAATACTGAGGAACTGCAATCTCTGAATGGTTGTTCATGTCAACAACTGACAATTTGAGAGGTTTATCAACCAAAAGGTTGTAGAAGGCATCAGAAGCGTCATCTTTCCAGGATCCTTTGGACTTATCAAATCCACTCAGACAACACAAAAAAGCCTGAGGAGCAATCTCCAGGAGACACTGGGTCAAAGGTTTTACATTCTTAATGTCAACTTCAGACTCATTTCCATAATCAACAAACAGGACGTGTAGAGTTTCCTCACTTTTATGAAGTACTTGAGCTCTGTACCACTGGTTGTCACTTGGAAACAAAGCAAGACATGGACTGCCAGGACTGAGGCTCTTGGAAAATATGTCTTGTTCTGCCTGTCCAGCCTCTTGAGCAAGCTGTGATACTTCATCTAGATCTTCAGTGTTGGCCAACTGACACCAGAAGAAACTTGGTTCAGAAATACAAGATGCATACATCATCTCTGTCTGAGCCCTGGATATCACTGGATCTTTGAACATGTCAGCTTTCATTAAAGTTGTTTTAGACACACAAAGATGTGCTGTGTCAGAATGGTCAGGACCAACTTGACTTGAGTTGATTGATTGTTGATTTTCTGTCATAGAAGAGTCTTCTGTAACTGGTTTCCAGTACTGCAACATAGCTGCATGTATATTTATTTCTTCGTGCTCAATTTCTACTGAATAATGAGGGACTGCAATCTCTGAATGGTTGTTAATGTCAACAACTGTCAATTTGAGAAGTTTGTCAACCAAAAGGTTGTAGAAGGCATCAGAAGCTTCAACCTTCCAGGATCCTTTGGACTCATCAAATCCATTCAGACAACACAAAAAGGCCTGAGGAGCAATTTCCAGGAGACTCTGGGTCAAAGGTTTTACATTCTTAATGTCAACTTCAGACTCATTTCCATAATCAACAAACAGGACGTGTAGAGTTTCCTCGCTTTTATGAAGTACTTGAGCTCTGTACCACTGGTTGTCACTTGGAAACAAAGCAAGACATGGACTGCCAGGACTGAGGCTCTTGGAAAATATCATGTCCTGTTCTGCCTGTCCAGCCTCTTGAGCAAGCTGTGATACTTCATCTAGATCTTCAGTGTTGGCCAACTGACACCAGAAGAAACTCGGTTCAGCAATAAATGATGTGTACACCATTTTGGCTTGACTTTCTGCCATGCCTGGCACATTGGATATGGAAGTACTGGTATTTTCTCGAGAAGCAAATTTAGTTATGTTGCTCTCGGTTTTAATACTTTGAGGCAAAATGTCTGTTTGTGTCACACTGGTCAGTGAATGTTCTCCAGAAAATGATTTCCAGTATTTCTGCATTATTTCATTAATTATTACTTTATCACATTCAGCAGTTACTGTATATCGAGGTATTCCAATTTCCATATGTTCTAGATCAACAATTGTCACTTTGAGTGGCTTATTGACCAGGAGTTTAGGGAATTCATCATGAACCTTGTCATCCCAGGAGCCACTTGACTTAATAAAACCATTCAAACAGCACAAAAATGCTTGAGGAGGTATCTCAAGGAGACTGTAAGGCAGTGGTTTAACCTTATTTATGTCAATCACAGACTCGTTGCCATAATCAACGAACAGAACTTTGAGTGTTTTGTCAACTTTCTGAATTACCTGAGCTCTGTACCACAGGTTGTTGGAAAAAGCAATACACTGACTGCCAGGTTCCAGCTCCCCAGATGGGAACACGGTGTGTGCTTGCCCAGCCTCTTCAGCAAATTTTGTTACAATAGTAAGGTCTTCTGTATTTGTATACTGGCACCAAAAGTGATCTGGTCCCACAATGTAGGAAGCATGAGCATCCACAATCATGTTTTGGGAAACAGTGGGCCACTTGTACCTGTAGATCTTACCCTTTCCTTCTGGGCAAACATGAGTGGAATGTGGAGACATTTTTAGGAAGCTGGGAGAATCCTGAATGGAAATCTCTGCAATGGTTTCTTTGACAGAAACGACACCCAAAGTTGGATTTCGTCCATCTAAAACCTTTTCTTGTTCCATCTGTGGTGGAGAGTCTTTATGTGTATTCCAGCTGTGGTCGTCTTCCTGTTCAGTTGTCTTAATTACAGATGCTTCATTAAGTTCTTGATCTGAACTGTCCCCATCTGGTAAAGCAGCTTTTGAGCCAACTGAAAGGTGCTCGTCAGTGTTTTGATTCATGCAAGTCCTGGCTAGCTTAATTTTTTCCACTTTCTCTCTGACCATAATGTTTACACTAAGAGACCCATCAAACAGTTCAACAATTAGCTTCCTTTCTTCACTTTTTGCGACAACTGAAATAGTAAAACTATGACCAACAGCAAAATCTGCAAACCACTGGTTCACATCTTGTGGTAAATCAGCAGGCATATCAAATAGTGCAAGTGGAATAGCCTGCACAGGAACAAACCTTGCAACGCTCGATCCTGAAGGAAAGGGGTAAATGCTTGATTTAGAAATGGCAAGAGTGTCTCCATAGTCAACAAAGTGCACTTTAAGTTTTGGAGATGTTTCTACGATCTGACCTCTGTACCACTTATCAATGTGCCTTGCCAAGCAAATGCTGTTAAGTTCAGGGGTGTCCTCTAAACTCTGTGGTTTGTTGAATAGTTTTGCAATATTTTTTATCAGTTTGTCCAGCACATGTGCATTTCTGTGCAGTTGGCAGTAGAAGTGACGGACAGTCTTTGCAGAGGTTACCAACACTTTTTCTTCTCCACCCACCTCAATATTGAGCGTGGAATAACAGTATCCATCCAATGAGATCGCTGAAGGCATTTGCTCCTGAACTTTAGACTGAGCACGTTTTTGAGTCAAAAGCTCGCACACACTCTCAGACTCTCTTTGAATGTCTACCACGTTAACCAGAAGACCATCTTCATCGGAAGTTACAGCTTTCACAAGACATTTCAACTCCGTGTCTGATGATGTACCAGGATCCACAAACTTCAGGAATTCATTAAATTCAGCATCAGTCCAACTATTGTGAGTGGGCTCAGTAGGATTGTTCAGAATGAATAAGCAGCACTGAAAAGCCTGCGCTTTGAGCTGCAAAAAGACTGGATCAATGGGGTGCACGTCTCGCAAAGGGATGCTTTGAGTTTGACCATAGTCTATAAACCTCACATCGACAGTAGGGGTGTCATGACGTGCAACGATGCTTGCTCTGTACCACATTTTATTCTCTGGATTACGAGCAACACAGATAGACTCTACTAGTGGCTGAGGATGGGCAAATGCATAATGGGCTTGAAGATCTTGCATAAGCTGTCTAAAAGAATCTGCACTTTCCGTTTCTTGACACCAGAACTTCTGTGGACTTTCTATGCAAGATACTTTTACATGAACAGTTTTTCCTACAGGAAACACACTGTCATCACAAGCATTTTGTACTTCAGAAAGTAAGCTTGAGGAAAGATGTCCATTATTGTGTAGTACAGGAACAGCGCTTATTTTGGTACGAGTAATATTGCCAGAAGTAGACGAGTCATCAACACGGTCGTTGCCCACTTGTATTTTTGTGCCTGACCCAGTTTCTTCTTGAAAACCATCAATTTTCTTGGCCTTGAAAAGCAAATCAATGGTCTTTTTTTCCTCCAAGGAAATGGGAAACAAAGCATTATTGTGAACATTTGAAGCTTGTTCAGACTCAGAGAATGAAACGGGTCCAGCTTTTTCAAGAAAAATATCATTCAGACATGCATCATAAGCTGAGTAAAGCGTGACATAGTAGACGTCTTGATGTTTATTGTAGTGGTCAAACCTTGCAACCACCATCTGGTTAAGGAGCATTGATTTTAAATCATCAGTCTTGTCTGCGGCCTCCTCTCTGTTAGTATTTGTTATTTTATTCAGAGAACAGAGATATGTAACAACTGGCATTTTCAGGAATTTTCCATGAAGCGGTCTAATGTCTTCAGCTTTAACCAGTTCAGTTTTGCCCGCATCCACATGGAAGACTTCTATATCATCCTTGGCAGCATCCTCACTAGTCTCGATGTTTTGCTTCAGCAAAGAGCGGCACCATTTTCCATCAGTTCCTCTGGCTGCACAAGGATCCCCGCAGCTCTGTGGTTGTGCTGGTCCAAAATATGAGCTCTCTTCATAGTGCTGGTGGATCTGTTCAGACAACAGTTTCACTGCTTTGGAAAAAATGAAGAGCATACAAAAAATATTCAGAGGATTGATTATTTCAGTCACGTAAACTGTTTCAAAAGTGTCAATTGTCAGCTCAGGGTAAAAGTAATGGTCACATTGGACAAAGTGGCAGGGGACATCAGGTTCCGGTTCCAATGTTAAACAGAGGGACTCTGATAAATCTTCTCTGATTGCATGAAGATATTTCTGCAAGAGTCCTTTAGACTGATCAGCTTTAATCTTCTTTGCAACTCCAAGCTTACACATATAGTTCGCAACAACTGGTATCTCAAGGAGAATAATCCTGTCTGGCATAAACACATCCTGAACCAGTCCTTTAAACTTCTTCCTTGGCAAACACATCAAAAACTTTGAGGCCGTTTCAGGCCACTCGTTTTGTAGGGGCATGACATTTGCAAGAATGCACAATTCAATTTCAGGAGGAAGAAGAAAACTGCCACTCTTGCTCCATGCTAGAGCTTCACTTGTGGTGGCATGAGGCTGGCTTTGGTCAATTAGAAAAACATTGTAAGTTTCACTTTGGATCGATACAATCCTTGCTCTGTGCCACTTGTCTTTGATGCAAACTACGCAGAGATCCCCTGGTTTTCCTTCCGATCTGTAAAAACTTCTCTGGGGGGTTTGAATTTCCTCCTTCATCTGCTCATAAATGCATTTCTTTCCATCATCCATGTTGACCCATAACTCCAGCAAGCCATGACTGGATTTTAGGTTTACCCTGGTGATGAGCACAGACACCTCTAATCCTGGCGATGGAAGTCCAGGAATTGAACACATCATCAAAGAAACAGCTCAAATACACCTGCAAAGTGAAAACAATGGGTATATTAATGCTTAAGCTCCTTTCAATAAACTAGCACTTTAAGCACAACTTTGACATCTAACATTTCATTATTTACAAAAATACATTTCAGTAAGCCCATGACCTTGAATTGGATTAAGCAGGTTTAGAAAATGGACAGATGATTTTATGTTAAATTATGTCAACTTGTTGTAAGGTAAAATTCTGTTGGCAATCCAGCAGAATTAAAGTTTAGTCTAAGAATAGGGAGTTGATTTTCTCAGAAGACAAATCTTTAATGATTTTTTCCCCAAAGGCAATTCAGTTACATTTAAATTCTGTATAAAAATTAAATAAAATTGCAATTAATTTTGTAGAGAATTTTGTTGTTCATAAATTAGGGGTATATGTAGCCACTTGTTATTAACCACCATGAAGGCAAAGGTGCACGTCTTTGCCCCTGAGTGCATGTGAAATGTTGGTTGTCTTGTTTGAAGTTGGACATCAAGAATCACTATAAATAATCGTAACAATAAATTTAATGAAACAGGAAGCAATCTTAGCACGAACATGTGCAACTAACTTTTGCAGTTGACCCTATTCAAGGTTCTAGATAATTAACATTCGCAAAACAGACAAACAAATGCCTAATACTCAGTTGGACAAATACTGACCTGAAATGTGGTATCGTCATAGCCAAGATGCTCATACTTCCTTAGAAAATTGCACATTGTGAAATATTTTCAACTAAAATGTTGGGATGAACCTTTGGAAAGATTTTAGTAACACTCTAGAAAAGTAATCATTGGATGCAAATCTACCAATGAAATAACAGTAGCGGGCGTGAAATCGTCACCTACCACCTGTTATTGAGAAGATAGAATATCTATGGAGATTAGTTTTTAAAGGGTTCACAAAATAATACAACGATAAAATTTTTTAAAAGGTGCACATTTCAAACTGCACTAAAAATATGCCAATTCATATCATATCCAATGTGCTTGCCATGCACAAATAGCCTGGCTGAGAATCTCTTCATGGTCCAGATTCACAACTAATGCTGTGTTCAGGGGTAGTGAAAAGCTGGGACATCTGCACCCAACTATCAGACATAGATCACATTTGTTCGACAGGATCTAAAATGAATATTGACCCGTTTTCATCCCACCAACAACACCAGTCTCCTTTAATTTTACTACATTCACTATCCTCCCCAGTTCCATCCCAGTTCCTAAAAGCTCTGCTGCGACTGGTCTGAATGGCTACCAGCCAGTATCCCTCACCCCGATAGTCGCTAAATGCTTCGAAAGACTGGTCATGACCCACATCAAAACTACCGTCAACATCAACGAGGACCCTCACCAGTGTGCATGAGTCAAACACAGGACACCATCTCCTCTGTGGTCCGCACTGCTCTCACCTGGAGCAGGACTCCTACATCCATCTGCTCTCTGTGGACTTCACCTGCCTTCTACACCATGATCCCCCAAACCCTGATGGACAAACACTCACAGGAATAAGCCCCTCCATTTGCAACTGGGTCCTAGACTTCTTAAACAGACCTGTGGAGTGAGTTTCCATTTTGGTGGGGTTCTTAGTGTTTTGGTATTTGCAGCGTTTTTCCTGTGCATTTATTTTGTTGGTTAGATGTTTTTTCTTCCTGTTATTTTCCATGATATCATTTTTCTTTTGTAGCGTTTTTCTGTTGCATTTTTTTATTGTGTTTTGGTGTTTGCATCGTTCATGTGTTTAAGTGCGTTTTGCTGTTTGAATGACAAATATGGAGATTAAAGTTTGACACATGCAACAGAATGCACAAGCTGAAACACTAGAAACTGGGATCAACTTTATTTAACTCACTTTAGGCGAACAAAAAACCTCAGTTTGGGAGATTGTAATTTTGTGATGCAAACTACGATTGTAAGAAAGTTAAAAGGAATGCGGTTTGGTTTTAATCATTAAGTGTTTTTGAAAGGGAAAAATCTCCCTTGATATTTCATAATTTTTTTATTTGAATGATTATTTTTTACATTTTCTAGTAATGCACTTCCATTTTTTTAAAACACCCCCATTTGTCAACTTTTTCCTGTGTTTTATTGTTTTACAGACCAACCTGTAATTCTAATCAATACAAACTTATTATTTCATCATCATTGACAACAGTCACTTTAAAAGCAATCAACTCTTTGGTTTGCCAACAAAACTTTTAACTTTATTCACATTTAATCAATTAGTGCTTATTATTTTAACCAGTAGCCAATATTTGAATAAAGATGATCCGTTTTTTAAAGGTTCATCAAGGACAATTTCACATTTAAGGTGTTCTTTAAGTGCAATACATGCCGTTTCCGAACTCAATAACGATTTCCAATAATTGTAATTATTGACCAACATATTTATGATTGGTTATTTTTTCCATACTAAAGCAGCTCTAATGTACAATTGTCATTTGCGCCAGCAAGCTTTGCTTTCTATTTAGCATCTAAAAATGTCTGAACTGTTAATTACAATTTTCTTCTTCACATGTATTTTCATCAGAAGTTGTTTCAACAACAGGAAATTGGACAAAACTTTAACAAACACAAGATAATTTTAATGTAAAATGAAGGCGTGGTATTAGTGAACAGGCCCACTACTTTGAGACCAATTTAGCTTCACACCTTCTCACCGGTTTGTTGGAGGCTACGTGGCCATCCTGTCCTCTCGGTGAGTCCTTCAGGAACGCGCTGGCAGGATGGACGAGTCACGTGCTCAGGTGGCGTTTTAAAACCTCTAATCATGATTGACATGCGTCATAAAATCCGAGCGAAAGGTTGGTGTCGGAGCCTTTGATTGTTCAGAGCCCCGCCCCCAGGTGGGCTCTGAGCCAATCACAGAGCGCGCCGTGAGTTCCGTGTTTGGTTCGTTTGGAGCAGGAAGAGAGGAGCTGGTTCCTCCTGGTCCACCGGGTCCACCTGCTCATGGTTTGTGGATGGAAGCTCCAGACAGTCGAAGAATGGTGAGGCTTCGTGTTTGAACGTGAAAAGCAGAAGTTTAGTAAAAGTCTGAGGTGTTTTTATTTTGTTTTATGTAAAGTGAAGTTATTTCTGCTCCAGGAAACACGTGATGTCAGGTCGCTCCGTGGAGAGGATCAGTTTACTTCACATTTCAAAGATTTATAATTAATATGAGAATGTGAAGAAGCTTTGTTCACCCCCATGTCTGAGGCTTCCTAACAGCATCTTTACAGTCCCTGTTTACAGACTTACTGTTTGGAGAACAATATTTTATAATAGTATGAATGGTTTTAAATCGTTCACGCTGATTTTTATCATCACACGATTATATATTTGTCTATTTCAACAAGTCATAAATCAAAAATGTTCAGCTCATTCAGGACATTCCTTCTGTGACTTTTGGTATTTGTGTAATTTTTACTTTTTGAAATATTTATCTTTTTCAGTCATGTCTCTCCACATCCTTCAAAAACCTTTAGCTGTTTAAACCTTTTACAGCTTTTGTTCTGGTTCAGCTTCAGCTCCTTTCTGCTCATTTAAGCTTATCTTCCTTTCAGCTTTGTTCAGCTAATTTTAGCCTTTTTTCTTTTTTCTTGCTAATTTCAGCCGGGTTTTTTCCTTTTCAGCCTCTTTCTACTGAGTTCAGACTTTTCTAGCTCTTATAGTTACTTTTTTTTTGCTAATGTCAGATTTTTTCTAGTCTATTCAGCCTCTTGGCCTATTTCAGCTTATTCTGCTACATTTCTACTCTATCCAGCTGTTTATTTATTTATTTTTTACATATTTCTGCTTCTTTCCACTTTTATTATCCCGTTTCAGCAAATGTCAGCTGTTCAAATTCAACTCGCATTAACAGTTCAATTATATCTTTTCAGCTGGTTTCAGCTTCTTTAGTAGCTTTCAGCAAAAATCATTCAGCAATAAGTATTCACACTACATTTTAGCAGGAAATGAAGTTCTTCTAGTTAACTTTTGGAGTTTGTCTGATTCAAGATGGCCTCCAAGGTTTCCATTAGCTAAACTGTAATGTGATGTAGCAGCTGAGGGAAGACCTGCGTTCTTTCAAGGGAATCGTTGAAGGAAGCATTGATCCTGATAACGACTGACCTGGTTGGTCCGTTTTTTTCAGTGAATCTGTCGAAATGATTAAGAGGAAAGGTAAAGTGCTCTGTGATGAGACAAGTCTGAAGATCCGTAGACTGACAGCGGCGAAGGCTGAAACTGCTCCGGATGATTCAAACCACCAGGGACCATCTTCAAATAGCTCCACTTACTCTGCTTCAGTGAGTTAAGAAAAATCTGCGAACCTCATGTTTGTACACCTCGCCTGCGGTAATGGTTGGTTGATCACGTTCTGCATGTTTCTGCAGGGAGACATTGGTCTCATAGAGAGCATCACTTTGAAAAACTTTATGTGCCATCATTCTCTGGGTCCCTTCCAGTTTGGGCCACATGTGAACTTCATTGTTGGCAACAACGGAAGTGAGTAAATAAACATCTCAACGTCCTGATTTTCTGTTACGCTTGATGTGTTTGAGTCCTGACGCTCTCTGGGGCTCTGAAAATTTACTCTTTTTTTCCCCTGGTGCAGACCGAAAAGGTGGAATTGGAAATGCCCTCCATCTGTCCGTCCTTGTATGTTGTGTACACGATAACTTTAAAAATAACTGAGGTACTGACTTCCATTTTGGTGTGCAGTTGAATCTAGACTTTTAAAGTTTTCTTTAGAGAACTGGTTCGCCACGTCAAAATCCAATATGGCTAACACCATGTAGGGAACGCTGCAGGTAATGAAGGCCTGAGAGCGCACGCTGTAACTGCACTGACGACATGACATGTGGGAGGAGATATAAGAAGGAAGCAGGCCGAGGAGTGATTTATAGATGAAGATGAACCAGTGTGAGAGCCTACATGTTGACCAACTGACCAATGAGTACAGGGTGCAGTGATGGGTACGGTGGTTACAACCAGTTATGAACCTTAGCACACCATGGTAGACAGCATCCAACATCTGCAAGCAGCTGGCAGGAGCATTCATGTAAATAACGTCATCGTATCGTTGGTAAGAAGCAGCTACAAGGTGTTTCCTGGCATTCAGAGTTAAGCAAGAACTATTTTTGAAAAAGGAACCCAGTTTCAGTTTCTTTAAGTTTTCAACGTGAGGCTTTAAAGAGAGATGCGCATCAATTAAATTTCCCAAGTATTAGCTAAACCATAACCTCAGCACATCTCTTTTTGGAAGGAGCATTAATGTGCAAAATATGTAATCCTGACATGATTTAAAGTCTGTTGGAGTGCTGCATGAGGTGAGAGGACCAGGACTAGGCTGAATCCCTGACACCAGTCAAAGATTTCTGGGTGTTCTTTGTGGCAGAAGGTTCATTGCTGGAGTTGATATTGTAGCACTTGGTCTCCATTGTAATTTTTGACGAGATGTATTTAAAGAGGCTCAGATATTTAGAACTCAGAAGCAGTGAAGTTGGCATAGAGGGACAAGTTAAGATGCAGCAACGTGGTTTAACCATACAGAATGTCCAACGCAATCATTTCCTTGAGCAGATGTTGCAGGACCTGTTAATATCTGTGTGTGAACAGAGTCTGTAGTTCCAACACCAGGGCTACTGAAGAACCATGGATGAGGCAGAAGAGCACAAGCAGTGTCGCATTGAAGACAGAGCAAAGTGGCATCTTGGCCGAGAAGTTTATCCACCTTCTGCTGCCTCATCCAAGACATCCAAAGCTAGTAACGTTGATGATGTTCGTGCAGTTCGAGCCAGAGAAACCAGAAAAGATTCAGATAGTATATATTTTTAGGAGTTTTATGAGTTGTAGTTGAATAAGATGAACAGTCTTATGCTAATCTTGTCACAGACACTTTCACCAGCGCAGCTTCATCCTGGTGATTTTCTGCTGGTTTGTTTTCCTCACCTTCGTGACCCTGCGCACCTGACGGTCTCTTAAATCCGCACTTTTCTCTATGGAGTTCTGCATGTGCACCTCAATTGCAGATTGGTTGTTGTGCAGAAAGTTTTACTGAGAGCGTTTCTGTCACAGGCAGCAGAAACACAAGATGGTGGATCAGCAATCGGGTCGGACAGCAGCTCAGCTGTCGGTCAGACGGGGCGCTGCTTGAAGCGTGTGCGCGGTTTAAAGCTCGCCAGGCGGATGTCGTTTGTTCCACTATTGCACCTGGTGGTGGATAAAATTGCTCCGCTCACCTTCCAGGATCCATCACTCTGCGCCGCATCGAACAAGCAAAAAATAAACCAATAAATAAAATCTACCTCTGTTCTTCGACGCAGTGTATCTTCTACCCTCTCGAATATTTTGCACCTAAAACATTTAGGTTTACTTGCATTTTCTGTTCAGTTCCAGTCCTGAAAAGCACTCATTTCAAAAACTACAAGCATTCACTCTTCAAATCTCTGCACACCATTGGTTGTGTATTTTAAACTCGGTGAACTCTGGACAGGTGCAGTTGTTCTGTAGCTACACTGATTTGTGATGTTTCTAGACGTGTATGATTTGTGAATATTTGCATACTGCTGTTAAATCAGTACATAACTGTAATGTCCTCTGTTGTGATGCAGTCCTCCCTCTGGTTTTGTTTCTCAGGTGGAAAAAGTGCCATTCTCACCGCCCTGATTGTAGGCCTGGGTGGAAAGGCCTGTGTGACCAACAGAGGGGTGTCGCTGAAGGATTTTGTGAAAGCCGGTGAAAAGTAAGTCTGGGAGAACTCTGCTGTTTTCCTCTCTTTATTCTCCCATTCATTTTTGTAATCTCTTATAATTCATAAAATGTTCGGCTCATTCAGGAGATGGGTGCTATTCATTGCATTTTCCCTACAGAAATACGAAAAGAGCTCTTCATTCAAACACAGTTCTCTTTGAAATCTACTTAAGGATATTTGATCTGTTTCTAATCTTCAGATACTTTCAGTGTTTAGCTCGGCTTTTGCTGCTTTTGTTACTTTTCGTTTATAATTAGCCTTTTGATACATTATCCTTGGCTACTCTTAGCTTTTAGCTAACTGTTTCTACTGTTAGCTAGCATTTAGCTAATTTCAGTTTTTAGCTAGCTATTTGCTTTAAATTCTATCTATCGTTTTGCTACTTTTAGTTTTATACAAGGTTTGTTCTACTTTTAGCTGGCCTTTAGCTATATTGAGCTTTTTAGCTTGTGTTCTTCAGTTTTGCAAGTTAGAGATTTTTGCTCACGTTTCTTTTATACCTTTTTAGCTAGGGTTTCACTCCTTTCAGTGTTTAGCTTGTGTTCTGCTCCATTTAGTGTTTAGCTTTCTGCTCCTTTTAGCCTTTAGCTAGTGCCCTGTTCTTTTAGTGTTTTGCTGGTGTTCTTCTCCTTTTAGCTAGTGTCCTATTACTTTTCATATTTAACTAGTGTTCAGCTTATTTTAGTGTTTAGCTCGTGTTTTGATCCTTTTAGCATTTAGCTGGTTTTCCACTTTTTAATTTTAACAACTCGGATTCAGCTTCTTCATCAAATTTCAGCATTCACACTTCTCTTTTTTTCGTGTAGTTTACTTTAGGCACTCTGCTGTTTTGTTACAGTTATAATGAAAACCAAATCTGCATTGTTCTTATGTTCTGATGTTCTTATGTCCTGCTGTTTGGCTGTTCTTATGTTCTTGTGTTCTGATGTTCTTTTGTCCTGCCGTTTGACTGTTCTGATCTTCTTGTGTTCTTATGTTCTGATGCAAAGCAGCATGTCTTCTGTTACAAATAAAGTCCAGTTGTTTTTGTATTGAACGTTTTTTGAACTTATGTTCTGATGTTCTTATGTTCTGCTGCTTAGCTGTTCTTATGT